TTTTCACGGTAAAGAGGTGCCTCTTCAACAACTGATGAAAGCTATAAAAAGATGGTGTCAGACACACCTCTATAGAAAGGGAGTTCCATATTTATTGAAACAAAAAAAATTCCTTCCAGTAGCACCTTAAATATCAACTAAGTTAGTTCTTGGTATGAGCTTTCGTGTGCATGCACACTTCTTCAGATACACACGAAAAGCTCATACTAAGAACTAACTTAGTTGGTCTTTAAGGTGCTACTGGAAGGAATTTTTTTTGTTTTGACTATGGCAGACCAACACCGCTACCTATCTGTAACCATATTTATTGAGTCACTCTCACAAGCTGCCACTGCTACCACTGTCCACTGAGAGCGGCAGAACCACCAGCAGGGGCTCCTTCACTGATCTCAGTCCCTGGGCTGGTTTGTATAGAAGGAGGCACTCTTTCAGTTAGTTCGACTTACAACTGATAGGAGAGCCTTAAAGTGGGCTTGGAATCTAACAGACAGTGGCGTAGCGTGGGTTGTCAGCACCCGGGGCAAGGCAAGTAATTTGCGCCCCCTAACCCGTGGATTTGCGCCCCCTAACCCGTGGATTTGCGCCCCCTAACCCATGGATTTGCCCTAACCCCAGATGTTGCGCCCGGTGCGGCTGGCCCCCCCTGCACCCCCCACGCTACGCCACTGCTAACAGACAACCAGTGCAACTGCTTTAAATCAGGTGTTTGATGCATTTTTGCAGCTGACCGCCGCCAACAACCTGGCTGCGACATTCTGCAAGCAGTTGGAGCTTCCAAACGGTCTTTAAGTGCAGCCTTGCACAGAGCTCATTGCAACAGTCTTGGAGCCGGCTTGAATGAACATCGATGCAGAACTACACTACATAAATTAGATTCCCACCCCCAGAAATTGTTTTCCTTCTCTTTCCGAATTGCCCCTTTGTACCTATGTGCTTCACTTATAAATAAATAAATAAATCAATCCCTTTTTGTTTTCACTTCTGTGACGGATGTTAAACTGAAGCCTAACAATCATGCCTAGATGTTCTGCAACATGATATAACATTTAGATAAAATAAGAAAGGATGCTAGGGGGGTTGGGAAGACCAGCACTGAGACTATGTGGTGGTGGGAGGGCATAAGTCTCATTATTGTCTACTCCCTTGTTCTTCCCTCAAAGTGTACCTTAGCACAGAGAAACAGTCCACAGGGGGCTGTTGGCAGCGACCACTGAGGCTTTGTGCGAAGTAGTTGTTTTATTCAGAATTTAAAGACATTGTGTAAAAGTGGGGAGGGACAAATTCCCTCAGGTGACGCGTCAATTACAACATAAATAGGCAAACATAAAGGGAATAAAGCTGTCTGGAGAACAAAAAAATTAAAACTATTTTTTTCCCCCTTAGGGACTGACTTCCCTTGAAAATTGCATCAACATAAAACCACAGTGAGTCATGTTAAGGAACACAAGGCTGACCATAATCACGCAGTCGTGGCAAAAGGATTTTAGCTTAAAACCAACTTGAAACAACATTGGACATGACTGGTCCTATCCCTATCACCAGAGTTGCTCTTTGCTGATCTAATAAAAAGGGTTCCACCACCCCCACCCCACACATGCACACACACAATGATGCTTGTCAACTAGAGGTGTGTAAATAAGCTTCCTCCAAAAACCTGCTTGGAACAACAGAACTTCAAAGGTGATTATTAAAATGCTAATATGGTGGAACAGCAAGCAGTGACACAGAGAGCACTGCCAAGGAGAAAAACAAGGTACTGAAAGTTTTGTTTTCCTCATTCAGGACTGGATCTGTCACTCTTGCATTAAGAAATGAACAAAATAAAAGGACAACTCAGGAGCCCAGGCAGTGCATGTAAGGACCTATTTTGGATTCTATCCCATTTGTCTCTACCCCAGATTACTCCACCTTATAACATGCAAGAAACTGTGTAAGCAACCAAAGTTAAAAAAACAAACACAAAACCTGACTTGCATTTGTTGTTGTTGTTGTTGTTGTGGTTGTTGTTGTTGTCTGCCGTGGCCACCGCAGCACGAAGCATCCATCTGAGCCAGGAGGCGCCGCGGCCTCTACCTCTTCCCCGCCGGAGGAGCCACCCTCCAGCCTCTGCCCACCTCCTCCAGCCCCGCTGGCAGCGCCATCCTCCCTAAAAAAGGTGGACAATTCAGGGAAATGGGGGGTTGGGCACCGGAGAGAGCTTTGCACCACAGCACTGGATATGCTTAAGACAGCCCTGCAGGTGAGCCACCCTGGGAAGAGTCTATCAAAACATTAAACTTGGGCTACAGGTTGCTAAAGTGATATAGAGGCATCTTGAGCAATATAGATTTCCAAAGACGCTCTGTTACAAATTGATTATATCACGAAGATTATGTTTGCACAGACACAACGAATGCTTTCTTTCTCTCATGACAGAAAGCTGAAATCGAACAATAGGAAGGGAATAATTACAGGGCCTGAGCATGTATTGCAACTTCTGTTCAATACAGAGTTATGCTGAGGTGTGTCCTTGAGGTAATAGGCACACCCATGCTGCCAATTAATACTTTTACATGTTGCCAGCTTCCATGGTTGGTGAAAGAACTTCTAGGGACAGCATCACCTAGGTTTGTTTTCTTCAAGTGAGGGTGCACTGGAGACACATCAGGTGTGACTTCATAACAAACATACTGTAACAAGCCACCCCACTCTCTGAACAGTGTAAAATTCTGGAAGTCTTGGCACTTACCCAGAACTACATATTAGATTCAAAGTGCTTTATATTCAGCCAGCTATCAGGCTTTCTTCTCTGTTTCTGCCCTAAACTACTACGCTTGAATACAATCTGCTATGCCTTTGTCTCAGGCCTCACCTCTGCAGGTAAATTGCCCCTTTTAGCAAACATCCATTAAGAAACATTAACATTTTTTCTATTCCAGGAAGTGAACGGCCAATTCACAGTAACCAGCAAAGTCAGTAAACTCTTATTGAAATGTTATCCCATTTTACTGTGCCATGAGGGTAGGCATTTTTTTAAAACACAGTGAATATTTCCTTTTAAATACACAGTAGCTACAGAACATTGTAAATAAAACTTCAGAGGTATCAATAAATTGGAGGAAGATTTAGCAATTGACAAAACAGCAGTTGAATACTTTGCCATTGTCACCGTGTGACTTTGAAACTGAAAAACACAGATGCGAGGAGAAAGCAATCGGCTGTGTCAGGAATAATAGCTCTCAGACTTTTAACAGGTAGCTTATTACCTGGAACGTTTCCTGTTGTTGTTCTTTTCAGACAATGAAGAAAGCTAAAAGCAAATTATTAAACCATAGATCTTGAAAAGAGGTCACTTGGCTCATTGCTGTATAATGCCCCTTTGGCATTCCTGAGCACAGAGCTGTAGACTTTGCCACCTATTTAAAATGAAAAACAGTTGCTATGGGGGTTTTCCTCTCATTTTTTAATGTATAAAAGTCAGTCATACAAAGTGGTCACATTGCCTTTCTGACGCATGTATCCTTATATCATATAGATACTGTGTGGACATCAGATGGCCTAGTTTAAGCAGCAGTCTATAACTACTGTCCACCAACACAGGAAGAATGAGGGAATAATGCATTTTTCTTTTATTTTTCTTGAGCAGCAGATGCTGAGAAGAGCTATCTTCCTTCTGTGTGGGGACCCTGGTCTAAGTAGCTTCAGGATTTTGAGGGGTTCACTGGCATGAAACCCCTGAACCTGGTAGAGATAGGACATGAACCCTGAGAATTCTCTTAAGTTGTATCTGATCTTCTAGAATGTTCTGTGCAAAGTGGAAATGGCAGCACTGTTAGGGTAGTGGGACTTCTGATATTATTGTGACAAGTCCAGTCCAGCATTTGTCACCCTCTGGAGCTGGAGCTGGTCCTGGAGCTAAGTCTAATGTGTTGAGTGTTTTGGTTTACATTTTGTATGCAAAACAACTTATTTCATTTCTCATATACAAGTTTTTAACAGGCTACTTTTCCTCTCAGGAGCTATCAGCTATTTAATGTGGGTGAAAATCAGCACCATCTGTTTAATTCTGAATATGCAAGTGCCAACTTGCATCTCTCGTTCAAGAAGATTCGTCCAGTCAACTACAGTAGAGCAGGGGTTGAGCGATCAAAATAAATACATAAGCAGCCTTTAACACATTAATCCAAATGTCTCCACCGACGTCAGGAGGCGCTTCCTCATGTAGCAGTGTGGCTGCCAAGCACTTATGTAAATACAGTTTTTTTAATTAAATCCAATAATATAATAGCAAGAAACAATTAAGAGTGTGAATAATGGATGTTTGTTTAATCATTTCAACCTGTGCTTAGTGTATAATTCAATATTAATAGCATTAAAATGCAAGCTATATACAAAGTATTCCAGAGTAAACTAGATAGCCAGGGAGACAATCAGGACTAAAGAATGGGGCCAATAATAGACTCACACTCATTTTTATTTTAAAATATATAAACTGAATATCTAAAGAAGTTCCCAAGGCTAAACACATTAACAATAAAAATGAGTTACAGATAGGTAGCCGTGTTGGTCTGCCATAGTCAAAACAAAAAAAATTCCTTCCAGTAGCACCTTAAAGACCAACTACGGTAAGTTAGTTCTTGGTATGAGCTTTCGTGTGCATGCACACTTCTTCAGATACACTGAAACAGAAGTTGCCAGATCCTTCTATATAGTGAGAAGGTGGGGAGGGGTATTACTCAGAAGGGTGGTGGGAATAAAAATGAGAAACATTATAAAATCAGTATGCTAGAAACACACAGACAAGTTTTTAAAAAAGAAATGGATAAAATATTTCACTCTCCTCAAGAGATCCAAAACACTAGTAGATCAATGCTATAACAGAGAAACCATTGTTTCCTTAGCCCAGGGGTGCCAGCTTGAATAAAATATTGGGGGGCAGGTAAGCCCCACCCTGCATAATCAATCACATGATGGTAATGCCCATCAAATTGGGGGGGCTAGACCCCCTCAAATATTTTATTGGGGGGCACAAAGACCTCTCAGCCTCTAGGAGTTGGCTCCTATGGCCCTGGTGAAATTGTGCCACCAGATTAGAAGGTAGAGGAAGCAGCTTTCCTCCTCATTCCTATTTTTTAAAAACTTATTTAATCCTTTCTTTAAACAAAAAACACCCTCCCATTGGTTTCAATAGGAGGAAAATTAACAATGCAAGAGGAAGGGACATTTTTAATTGGGAAAATGGTGCAAAACAGAAAGTCTTCAAAATAACCTTTTTCTAGCATCATGGTTTTATAGCTGCTACTAACTTTAAATCAAACAAAAACCCAAGGGACATCCTGCATGTCATCTCCTGCATCCCTAAGGAAGTGGTTTGGCGGGCCTTCTTGGGGAGAAAGTATTCTTAATGGTAGAGGTGCTCCTGGGAAGTCCCTGATCAAAGTCATGAAGTCTCTCACATCCTGCCTAAAACGGACCTAGTTTATGACCAGTGCAGGGCCAGGATGAATAAGTGTGATGCCTTTATGAAGTGCTTATTGCTGATAAGTGTTGCAGAGCATCATGAAGAGATGGCATCTAACCCAGAACTCACTGTCTGTTCTTTCCATATTTCATAACCAAAATATATATTAGGAATCAATTTGTATGCTTCAAGCACACATGTGGAAGGAACTTGGTTACAGCAATGGGTAAATGGAAAACTGTCAGAACTGTGCAAGGACTCGCAAATTTCTTAAGTTAAACCGCAGAGAATCCTGTGATTCTCCTGTTTGAGACGTGCACTTAGACTTGAGTCTTGATTAGTCTTGTGCATTTCTCAATATTAGATGGGCAGTTCTGAGTACTGCCAAAGAGGTCATGCCACTAAGTGAGTAAGTCTATTAGGCAAGAAATATTCATAGAACTCTTTCAGGAAGAGGAGAACAGATGTTTCTTCAGAATTCCCTATGTCATAAAAAGTTTCCCACTTGTGACGTTCTTGGCTGCTAGTTGCATAGATTTTTGCATTGTTGTAGATGTTTCGTATTTCCGTCCCCTAGAAGAAAATACAAAAAACTACATTTCAAGACTCTATATATAACAATATTACTTAACATGATTTGAAACTATTTTCACGTATGAAAGTGTTTCTAAATGTTGTAATTGTTTTTTATATACAAAACTGTGATTGTTTTTATTGCAGATGTTTTTAATTGTGAAATTGCATCTGGATATTTTATGGGATTCATAAATGAAATAACCATATATGTAACTATATATTAGAGACTACCATAAGGCTAACATTCTGTGATGAATGGATGGGTCATGGACAGAGCTTGACAAAAAGCACTGAAGCTTCTCAGATCATTCTCACGTGATTACCGGTTTAAAAGACACAGTTTAAGCAAGAAAGAACACCCCTCCCCAAATTTTATAGCCATGTGTCCTTGTAATCCCTTAATCTGGTCCTGATTACAATGTAAACTGAAACAATGTTGTCTTCTGATCTAGTTCTAGTTCAGATAAAAACAGCAGCTGTAGAATGTGCATGTTCCTCCCATTCATGAAAGTTAACTTTGAAGTCCTGTTATTGCCTCTTATATGATAACGCTGTTAACTATCTCACAGCCCATATTTATACAATAACAAGCCAATTTATTAAGCAAGCAAGACACACCTGTTAAGTAAATCCTCCCTGTTACATTCCTTTGAAGGGGCATTCAGACTAAGTACACTCAGGCTGCACTCCTATATGCTTTACCTGATACAGATTGCACTCTTAAAGCCCCTTTAACAGAGCAGATCTTTCTGCAACCTAGATATTATTATTTTTTTCAAATTACCCTTGAAACTAGCAAAAAGGCAAACTGAATGTATGCACATTTAAATCATTTAATATGTACAGTTATTAAATAATTACAAATCCTGGCAAATATACTTGGATTTTACACACACATACAAATCTAAAACAAAAGAAGCATTGGAAATTGGTGGACTGTCAAAGTTGCCATTATTATTATTATTATTATTATTATTATTATTATTATTTATATACCACCCTATACCAGGTGGATTTGCTATATCATCTGTAAAGAATGACATGGATAAAAAATTCTGGGACCAGTGGTTAAACTCTCTGATTTCAACCTAGAAGCTTTAGGAATGTGAGCTAAAGCTAAGTGGTTTTAACAATCAATCCCTCTTAACAGGAGACTCTTGGAATTGTACTTCTGCATGGGAAACACTGTAGGGGCCTCAGACCAACTCTCAGACCCTTCCGAAACTGCAGCTCCCAGTATTCTTTGTTTAAAGTATATAGTGGGAATATGGCCTCAAAGAGGCTAGGCTAGCCTGATTCAGTCTGCATCCTTGCTAGAGATTAATATCTCTAATATCCTATTGATCTTAACTGGGTTTACAAGAGCAGACGTGTATAAGGTGAACACTTGCAGTGTAAGCAGTTTTTGCTTACTGTAAGGAGGCAGACCTAAAATTGTATTGAAAACTTCACACAAATCTTATCTTCAGCAATTGGTTGGCTAAACATATCCCAAGATTCTGAGATATCCATTATGAATTAAATACTGGTTGCTAATAACCAGCAAAACATCTAATTCCCTAAACCTATAAGATCTAGAAGAAAAAGCAAAGTTACACTGAAATGAAAGCTAAAAGATCGGATTTAGCTGTGGAAGCAGAGACACACATCTGCAGCATGCAGGTTTTGCTTTAATATCTGGTGTCCTTGCATGGGCAAGGTTCTTATCTTAAGTAAACTTTCTGGTCGGAGCACTTCTGACAATCCCTCCAAGTTAACACCACAAATTAGAGTCACTCCTCAGTTGCTAAAATTCTGAACAAGGGTTACTTAGCTATTGGATTTGCTAGCAGTCAATTACTTTGCAAGAATCAGGTGAGATACCTTAGGGATTTTACATTGTCCAAGGCAGGCTATGCAATTCATTGCATAAATACCCTACACCATCAGTTTCAAATTTATGGTCTGTGGATCCCAGAGCATCTGCATAGCCCACCCAGGGGGTCCGTGACACCATTCACATTTAAAAAAACCTACCATAGAGATATCAAAATTTTCTAAAGTAGGGGTCCATGGCTTGGCTTTTGAAAAGCAGGGGGTCTGCAGTACTTAGCTAACTGGGAACCACTGTCCTACATGATGAAAATGTGCAATATTGATGTAGGTGAAAGTCTGCAAGTATGGTGTGGGGGAAAACCACCATTATATATCAATGTTCAATATTGTAGCAAAGTGGTTAAATTGTAGTGCAAGGCTGTACAGTAATTGCTTAAGCCTGGGAGTCATTCCATGGAGCTTCAACTCAGTGGGACTTACTTTCATGAAGAAGCACATAGGATAGGGCAGCCTATCTCAACCTGTTGCCCTCTAGAAGTTTTGTACTACAAATCCCATCATCCTAGTCATTAGCCATGCTGGCTGGGGCTGAAGGGAGTTGAAGTCCAAAATGTCTGGAAGGCATCAGGTTGGGGAAGGCTAGTATTTGTTCATATATTAACCCCCCCCCTACACACACACACGCTTAATAGGCATTAAGGGTAAAGGTAAAGGGACCCCTGACCATTAGGTCCAGTCGTGACCGACTCTGGGGTTGCGGTGCTCATCTCGCTTTATTGGCCAAGGAAGCTGGCGTACAGCTTCCGGGTCATGTGGCCAGCATGACTAAGCCGCTTCTGGCGAATCAGAGCAGCGCACGGAAATGCCATTTACCTTCCCGCCGGAGCGGTACCTATTTATCTACAGTGGTACCTCGGGTTACATACGCTTCAGTTACACACTCCGCTAACCTAGAAATAGTGCTTCAGGTTAAGAACTTTGCTTCAGGATAAGTACAGAAATCGTGCTCCGGCGGCACGGCAGCAGCAGGAGGCCCCATTAGCTAAAGTGGTGCTTCAGGTTAAGAACAGTTTCAGGTTAAGAACAGACCTCTGGAACGAATTAAGTACTTAACCCAAGGTACCACTGTACTTGCACTTTAACGTGCTTTCGAACTGCTAGGTTGGCAGGAGCAGGGACTGAGCAACGGGCGCTCACCCTGTTGCGGGGATTCGAACCGCCAACGTTCTGATCGTCAAGCCCTAGACTCTGTGGTTTAACCCACAGCACCACCCGCATCCCTTAATAGGCATTAGGGGACCCTAATACATAGAACATTCCATACACTTGTAGTGGCTACCAAGTTCCAAGAGTGAGTACAGGTGTCTGTAGCTTCAAGGAGAGACTAACAAAGAGAACCAGCTTTGGCACTGTTTGGCGCCTCAGTAACAAGAAAATGCAAAGCTAATGCCAAAGCGAGCAAATGCTAAACTCTGTCCTTCCTGGGAGCACAGAGCAAGAGATAGCTAGAGGGAGGCTTCTGTAGTATTGAAACTAGTGGCCCTTACAGGTGCATGGAGGCTCTCCCCATATAGTGCATCATTAAGAGACTTAACATTCAGCATATCTGTCAGTGAATCAGCTCTAATATACCATATTTCATTCACATAACCTTCTCTAGCCTCCTGAAAGACAATAGTCTGACTCGAGATTCCTCAGCTGACAAGTCAGCTGTTGCACATAGATAGCAGGCTTTTTGAACGATATTCCACTGATATTTGTGTGCCAGTGGTGCAGTCTGCAATGATTTATACGATATTACTAAGTGCTTCACTTGCAGCCTGAAGAAGTACAAACCTTTCTGTGTTTTGCTGTCTGTCTTCCGTGCCATCGTCTCATCCCTCTTCTTTAATCATCAGACCCATTCCTATTCTGAGTTTGCACTATTGTCCCATGCGGAAATTTCACCCGGCCCATCTGAAGTCTCCTCATCCTCCATTTTGTCAACAATGTGCAATGCATCAGTCTCATCTGGCACACATCTCCTGAGGATGCAAATGTAATTGCACAAACTCAGGTGTTGTTGTTTTAAAAACAAAACAAAACCATGAGCCAACATTGCCAAGTGGTAAAAGCATGTTTATATTCATAAGAACAAAAAGTGAAAGCGCTGCCTCGGATGCATCCAGAGTTTTAATATGTTTGGGGCCTCTTAACCTAATTTCAAAATTGTTTCTCAAACTTCTGTACACTTGGGCTGTGCAAAACTCTTAACATTTGCTAGATGAACTTTGATATATTTGTTTTACATTAAGTGAGACATAGTTGGCTAGTGAGTAAGCCTTAGCTAAGGGTTCCAACGGCTGAAACTTTTAGAAAGCCTTATTTTGAAATACATATTTCCACACAAGTCAAGACAGAAATGACATTAAAATATCACAAATCTCCATATTTGTAAACTTGGCATACACAACGATTAGATCCAGCATTAAATCTTGAAAAGTGGTATTCCTCAAGTCAAAGGGGGTATTTTTGGATAACATACTTCAAGCATTTTGAGTACACAAACATTGTGCAAATAGCAGGGCTGCCATACATCCAAATTTTCCCGGATACTTCCAAGGTTTCAAAGGCGGAATTGATGTCTGAGGGGAACTTCCGAAAGGCGGTGTTTCGTCCAGGATCTTAGGCAAGTCAACTGAAAAATTGTGGGGGTTTTTGGCGTTTTTGTAACATAAAGCTCAACAACTTTTGGGGTGTCCTGGTTTTTCCTTTTTGAAATATAGCAACCCTACAAATAGTTAATTAATTACAAAATCACCTTGGAATCACTTTATGTAGGCATATAGCCCAGATGAGGGCAGAACTTAGGTGCAAAGGCATGACATAAAGGTGCATAAAGTCTACATATGCACATTTAGATGTATACACAATGTATATGTATAGATTGTCTCTGGGATAGTGAAATGCTAGATTCTGGTTGTTAGATGGTTTGTGTTTTATCAGCACAATAGTTTGCAGTGCACACAGCTAAACTATAAGCAACTTTAAAAAAATTAATGCCACACTTGCAACTTACATTTTAAGTAGGTATTGTAGCACTGTCATGGCTTCACCCAAAGAATCCTGGGAACTGTAGTTTGTTAAGTGTGGTGAGAATTGTTAGGCAACTCCTATTCCCTTCACAGAGCTATAATTCTCAGAGTTCCCTGTGAAGAGGGATTGATGGTTAAAAGGCCAATTTGTGAGGCATGGAAAGGTGGGATTTAGAAGTTAGTCCCACTGCATTCAGTGGTCTTAGAAAGTGCATTTAAAGACTGTGGCCTAACAGCACAATCCTATAGATATTTTAGTATGGCTCACTCGCAAGTAAGTGTGTACAAGATTGCAGCCTAAACTTCACTCCGGTGTAATAAAATATTCACATAAAAGGTCTACATTTTATTTTCAAGTACTCCATTTTGCTGGCTACTGTGTTCATAGTGTTTATGAAAGATAAGAAATGCACCATTTACAAGCTTCGGTTCTATAAATAATGGCAAAACTTCGTCTTCCTAGAAAACACAGCAGTTATAGTGTTTTGACAGAACTGATGAAGGCTTAAGTGGTGGCTACAACTTCTTCCAGCAAAAGAAACAAAAATTCTATTGCTTCCACAACAACAGAGACTTTCAAATACAAAACCAGAACGGCAGGGCTCCTATTTAAGGAACAATATCTAAACACTGGGCACAATTATATATTTTAAAATGGAATCGTAAACTGAACCTGTTGCTACATGCTAAATTACCTACATGCAGTCCACCAGACTTAAGCAATTATAGTTTTAAACAAATTCCTTGCCCTCTAATTTGTTTAATGATTTTCTGGTGGGGACACATTGTACCGAAAAAAACAAATTCTCATTTTTGATCCAGAGTGCTTTTATTTTTTAAAGGCTACAATCCTAGCCTGGTTCTCATGGCATGCTAAACCAAGACTTGGCTGGACAACATACCTGTGGGCCCTTAGAAAGGAGCTTGCAGCTGCTTTGCTGCTCCCAAGCCCTTTTTGCTACCACAACATGATGAGCTAATGTCATGAACTGGCTGGAGACAGAAGAGTGGTGGGAGGCGCCAGCAGAGGAACCACCAGGGGAAGAAGACTCAGAGCCAGGGGATTGGTGGAGGGACAATGATGAGTGGTCAGAAGGAGAAGATGGGAGTGGGGAGAGGTGTTGGAAGATGGAGCGGCAACAGGGTTTAGTGAGCAGGAAGAGTCTGTGGCTGAATGCAGTTCAGACTCTGAGGCGGAAGCAGAGGCTGGAGAGGAGGGGGTCAAGAGGCTCCTGAAGAATCCATGGATTCTCAGCCTCCTGCAGTGTCAAGCTCCCCAAGAAGGCACAGAATAATGAGGAGAGCAGAACAGAGGTCAGAGGTGTGCAGACACCTCTGCAGACACTGTTTGAGACTGTGTGGGGAAAACCCTGGAGAGGAGGAGCCTTAGAGAGAGGTTGTGTTGTAAACAAAAATTGCCCTTTTCGCTTATGGGGTATCCAAGAGCCCATATAGAGTCCTTACATAGGTTCCCTATTGGTAGGAGAAGATAACAGAGGCCAACCAGAGAATATTGAGAAGCAAAGCAGCTAGTAAGCTTGATCTTTATTGATCTGTTGCCACAGGGTGCTCCCCTCACCCGCAGGAGAGGAGGAGGAACCCCGGAAAATGGCGCGCAAGGCCTTATAAAGACTTTTAAAATTGCCACCCTGTAGATCAAGACCTTGGGGACGCGGTCTTGCCGATCGTCAGGTCGGCGGTTCGAATCCCCGCAGCGGGGTGCGCTCCCATCATTCGGTCCCAGCGCCTGCCAACCTAGCAGTTCGAAAGCACCCCCGGTGCAAGTAGATAAATAGGGACCGCTTTATAGCGGGAAGGTAAACGTCGTTTCCGTGTGCTGCGCTGGTGCTGGCTCGCCAGAGCAGCTTCGTCACGCTGGCCACATGACCCGGAAGTGTCTGCGGACAGCGCTGGCCCCCGGCCTCTTAAGTGAGATGGGCGCACAACCCTAGAGTCGGACACGACTGGCCCATAAGGGCAGGGGTACCTTTACCTTAGATCAAGACCACCCCCAGAAACACCATACATACATCACAGAAGGGGTGTAACCTAAGACCACCTCTCAGATACATCATACCTACATCACAGAAAAGGCGATCTAAACAGAAATTTGAATGTTGTTTTTCTCCTGTCGTTGTTTATCTCCTGTCTGGCAACTTGATTGGATTGCCTGGGGAGCCTGGCCGTTCTTTTGTAGTGATAAATACTTAGTTCCTGGGCCAGGTCACAGGCTCACACCCTATTCATATCTTAAATGTGCCCTTAAGACAGGATTTGTGAGGAAAGAGACAATGGGGAGGTTTCCCACTTTGACCTTACAGAGAAAACATTTGCTCAGTTTAGGAGTCAAAATGGTTCCAGGTCCGTCTTCCTGTGCTGATCTATGTACTGCTTGGTTGGTACGCTTATGAACATTACCATATATCTAAAACCTCAAAATTCCTATCACAGTAGGAAGGCGGGGCCCTTCAGTTCTCGCAACTATGTCATTGGGGCAAGACTTCCAAGAAAGAGTTGCTGAGACTACAGGGCCTGATCTATGGTTTGTTTCCGTGGATAAAGATTTAACTTCATTGGCCCTGGGTGATTAATTGTTTTTTGATTGCTGACCTCCACCTTACTCAAGCCCTGACAGCTAAGTCAAGCTCAGAGGCAGATTTAAGAGCAGCATGACTGGCTTCCCCACACTGGGCACTGAGTCTAAGAGGCACTGCAGAGCACTGCAACTATGGCATAGTGAACTGAATAGAATGGAAGGCCCGAGGCAGGACGGGGCGCCAAATTTTGGCCTTGAACAGGGCGCCGCTGCAATTTGAAAGACCCAAGTCTGCCCCGGCTAAGCTATGGCTGAGCATATCATCCAAACCTGGGCTTGTGGTTAAGCTTTGTCCTCACCAACTACAAGCCAAAGTTTGTTCTAGGTTGCACCTCAAAAAGTGACATTTTGTATGATAAGGTCGGACATAAGGATCTAGCAAAGGAAGACAAAGTGAAGATCTAGCTGAAACGTCTGTTGGTTTTTGGTGTACCGAAGGACGGGAACCACTGATCCAAATTTGGCCCGGGAGGCAATTTTCCCAAACCACACCCAACTGCCCTACACTTTACATCATTTGTGAACAGAGAGACACAGCTGGATTGGCTGCCCAGCCATTAGACATCCTAATGATGGCAGGTGATTGATAGGTGAATTGTTACATCCAACTGTCCAAGTTGGCCCACCTAACTCCATGTTCATATTTCCATGAAGACCAGTATGTAGTACAGGAAATAGACCAAGCTTTTCCCCAACCTTAGGGCATGAGCTTCCCCAGGGTGGAGTGAGATGCAAATGAGTTCCAGCAGTAGTCTAACATGCATTTATCATTTTATTCCCTGGAATAGCTTGTGAGGGCTGCTCCATGGAAACCCTTTTCACCTTTGATGTGAACCCTCCACAAGAACGTTGCACAACGGAAATAAACAAAACAACAGCAACACTGCATTGCATTTTGTGCAGCAGTTGTTTCACATGTTTAAAATACGATTAACCTCTCAAATCTAAGCCTAAAACCTGTGTGTATGGACACTTTGCCAGTGACCTTGGTGAGAGAAGACTCCTATCAAATGGTCTCCATTGTAAAAGTTCTTTGTATTCATTGTCTGACTTTTGAAGGTTCAATTGATCTCTTTTGTAGCCCTTATCATTGCACTTTCTGGCACCAGTGTGACTTTAACAATGCTCCCCTCCAGATGGGAACTCTCCAAATCAGATGCTAAAGTACTTTAGGAAATCCCTTTCTACAGACAAAACATGTTTCCAAAGCAGGATTCTAAGCCTTTTGTCCTGTTCTGAACAAAGTCATCCTGATTTGCAGCCATGGGACAAATGGACCACAGCAAGTGCAGCCTGTTTTCAGTAAAAAATAAATAAAATCAAGGGGTCTAGCAAGAAACACACATGATACAAACAGGGATGCAGTGCAATGGACACTTCTGCCTGTTCATTAAGCTTTTACTCTTTCAAAGTCAGTGCAAGTTTTAAAAAACGGTGCTCACTTCAGTACTTAGGAGAATTAAGGAGAAGTTGTCAGGAGGAATAAATCACAATGGCTGTAATCGAGCATGCTACTATGCATGATTCAGTCCCACTGATTGAAGTTGTTCTATCAATCTGAATGGGACTTAAGTGAGCATAATTGGATGCAAGGCTGCTTTCATCCTATTTCAATTCTAGGAAGTGTTGTGGTGGTGGTGCTAGTATCACTGTGTACACCTAAGACTGCAGCCCTATGCACATTTACTTGAACACAGCGGAACTTCCTTCCTGGAAAATCGGCATGCTGGTCAGGCTGTGAACTGGATCCATTTTTCTTTCAGTTATCTCAGAAGCTGCGGACAGAGACCATACAATTAAAATACATTCCCAGCACCACTCAAAGAATCTTGGGGACTGTAGTTTAGCCCTCAGAGCCACCATTTCAAGCACTCTAGTGCCTTTTTTTCCTTTAAAAAAAAGTACTCCCATTTTGACTCAAGAAAATCACCATTTTATAGTTCAAATCGGGGAAAATAAATACAGTAAATGGACAAAAGTACAAAGAACATGCATTACATGGGGAAAGGACAGGAAGCCACCATTGGAGGTGGTAACAACGAAACTGACCAATCACCGTGCTAGATTCCAACTCCTACTTCACACATTAAACGCTCACTTCTGTCCAAGACTCAGGAAACGCCATGACAGGAAATGAGGCCACCATTGGGGTGGCAACAGAACTGACAATTCACCATGGTAGAGAAGAAAATATTTAAAAAAAAGTTTCTTCTCCTGTTAGATTCACAAAATGTTTAGGGGTATGTGTACCCCTGCGTACCCCCAGAAAAAAACACTGCCCTTAATAGACTAGTTCTCAAGATTCTTCTTGATCTCTGAGCACAGGTGTTATACGGTGACAAGACCTCACTCCTGTCAGCAATCGTGCTGCAGCATTGTTTGTTAAATAGCAGTTTCAGGGGTGCCTCAGACAGGAGGAGAGGGTTTAAAAACAGCAGCAGCAGCCTTCTCTGTGTTTCACAGATGTCCCAATCCTGATTGGATGCTAATAGCAAACAGCAATGTTACCTGTAGTTTAGCCTTTGGAAGCCAGAGAACAAGGCTCCAGTGTCCTACAGTGCTCCTGAACTATTCCCTCACAAGCAGAATAATCTTACGTTAAAACACTAGCATCACAGAAACCATTCAAATGTGTTTATTTTTCCTGTAGTGGAATGTGAATAACCTGGCGCAGGCTTTTGGAAACTGAGTACATGCAGCTCTGAAGGCTACCAACTTCAGCATGAACAATTCTCTGTGATTCTTCCTTTGTTTTAACCATTGTCTGTGCCATATGCCATTATCGTCACAGAGAGGCAGCCTTTTATCCTGGGAAGAAATTAGTGCAAAATAGTTCATCCAACTGTTTTAAGACTTCATATTAAAAAGAAAACAAAAACCCTGGCAAGGAGAAATAGTACCTGACCCTGGAAGAATGGAGACAAACAGGATTAGGCAACCATCTGTTGCAACCCGCCACCAAATCACACATCCTCCCTTTCTCAGTATGTGTATCAAATGCTGGAATGTACTGAATTTGTATTAAAACAGTAGCTGATTTCCCGAGCCCAGCTATTGCTAGTAGTAATCTGCCGTCTTCCTTTAACACCAGAACGTAAATATTAGCTAGCACGTTAGTTGTCAAACAAACAAACAAAAACATGCAGAATTTCAAAGCAAGGACAACAAAACATGGTGCTGATAATGCCAATGTTGCAGGTTCAATCCCCACATGGGACAGGTGCATATTCCTGCATTGCAAAGTGTTGGACTAGATGATTCTCAGGGTCCCTTCCAACTCTACAATTCTAGGATTCTAACATTACACACAGTACTGATTTCTCGAGATATTTCCAGTTTGGGGATAAGCACACTGATGTTCCACCCGCTTTTTTTCTTAGCTATCGTCTATACCCTTATATGGCAAATGTAAGAATATTGCAAGACATAATAAACACTTGGGATTAAATTTGTAACCCCCATTGGGATTACATTCATAACACCCTTTCTGCCTTTATCCTGGATCTGAATACAGTCACAGTAGTGTATGGCTTCAGCTTCAGAGGAGGAACCTGAGAGACCAGCGTTTAAATCCCCACTCCGCCATAAAGTTTGCTGGGTGACCTTGGGCCAATCATCTCTCAGTCTATAACCACAGAATTGTTGAGAGGATAAAAAAAATGGGGAGGGGAGAACCATGAATGTCCCCTTGAGAAGAGGAAAGCTACAAACATAGACCATGAGTGGTGAAACTCTGCTCCTGGACCTGCAGAGGTTTGCACTCAGTGGATGGATGTCATGGAGAGCAGCCAGGGAACTGCACACATTCGCAGCCAGCCACACTGCCCCTTTCACACAAGGGGGATTAAGCCCTTAGTCACACGTTTAATACAGGAGAAAGGGCTTTAGGTGTGACTGCCACATTCCCAATGCACCACGTGCAATGCTAGGAAAGCAAGGAACTAGCCAAGCATGGGCACCTCTCACATATCCCTTGAACTCATGGAAGGGAGGGATGTCTTCCAAACTCCCTGAGATGAGTGCATGAAGGGAGCTAAACTGAATAGTTAAAATGTCACTAAATGATTAACTCTAAGCCTCTTTCAATGCCTGCTTATGGATACAGTGGAGATTTTTATCTGTACAGTATATGGAACACCATGGAAACAGTAAATGATACGTAAAATAAGAATTATTAAGTGTTTTGCACAATTAAAAAATGAACTATATAAATCACTCAGTAATATATTTATTATCCCAGATTACTTTGAGAGCTACATTTGGAGGGATGGCATCAAGCATCAAGGGTATGCCCTGCCCGATGTGTTGGACCAATGCCCATCTGAGATAACCCCATGGTTGTCATGAAGGCCATGAAGTCTTTAAATGTACTTTAAATATATACAACCAAGTATAAGAGACTCTCAGCTTCAGACATTTGCCCAGCATCTTGTCGAGACTGACTGGTAATGGGCAAAGGTAGTACATTCATTCTAGCTGCCTCCACCACATTTACTTAACTGATATTTATACTTTCTACAAAGAACAAATCAGGCATAAGGAAATTCCCAATTTCACCCACCTCTAACTAAATTCTGTGCCACCTAGCAAGTCACTTGGCTAAGCAGTGAGGATGGGAATCCTGTGATCCTCCAAACCAGCCTTCCCTCACCCAGTGCTCTCCCGTTGTTTCAAACTCCAGCACCCATCAATCCCAACCAGCATAGCTTAGATTTAGTAGTTCAAAACAGCTGGAGGTCACCGGCTTGGAGAAGGCTCGCCTCCAGAGGCTTATTTGATTTTTATCCCATCTTTCCTGAAAGGAGCTCAATGTGGTATTCCCCCCCCCCACTTTATCCTAACAACAACCCTGTGAGGCAGGTCGTTGGACTCCAAATCCTATCAGCCCCAGCCAATACGCATGGCCAATGGTCTGGGACAAGGGAGCTTGAAAGCCTCAACATCTAGAGAACCCCAGGCTCCCTAGCCCTGCAATAGAAGAGCACAAGCCACACACAGAGAGAGAGATATGCAGCCTCGTGGATCCAGATGTGGGGAGAAATAGCATCCTGGAGGAGAGCAAACACTGATGTGGGTGAACAGGCGGCACAGAGCACGGCCGCTGACAGCCCAGGGTACATAATGGTCCTACAGGTGACTCAACCCTAAGCGTCAATAATGATATAAACGCGCTTGAACGCCGCCTGCGCTGACGTCAGCGTGCTGTCCCGCCCCCCTCCTCTCCGGCTGACCTCGGGTAAGCCTCTTTCGCGCGGATCCCGGCTGGGGAAGCTTCGGCCAATCAGCGAGGCCGGCGGCGCGAGGCGTCTTCGCGCGGGGAGGGGGGCGTGGCGTGCGTGTCGCGGCCTGGCAGCGGGCCTGTCGCGTGGGGGGAAGAAAGGGGGCGTGGCTAAGGTGTGCGGAGAGGGGGGAGGAGGAGAGGGGAAGGGCGGGCCGTTGCGCTGAGTGGGCGGGGTGCCGCGGCGGCGGCGGCGCGGCGCTGGCGGCGTCTGCGCGCTGGGCGGGCTTGGCTGGTACGTCAGCGGCAGGATGGCTGTAGCTGTTGACCCAGCCAGCAGCAACAGTAGCAGGCTCCGGTGGCGGCTTGGCGGCCCCAGCGGTGGCAGTGGTGGCTGTGGGGCGGGAGGTGGCGGCGGCGGCGGCGGTGGCTTGGTAAGATGGCGGCGCTGCAGGAAGGGGCAGGTATGGCGTGTCCTGCGGCAGAGTCACCCAGGACAACATCACGGTGCTACATGTCAAGCTGACCGAGACCGCCTTCCGAGCGCTGGAGAGCTACCAGGGGAGCAAGGTGAGGGGCGCCCCGGGGTCGACGGTCGTCCTCACTCGCCCGGGAAAGGGAAGAGGGACACGCAGCCGGCGCAAGGGGCGTGGAGGGGCTGCTTCCTCGAGGAATTCCACGCACCCCACTCATCCCAGGGCGTGAAATCTCGCCCCACACTCTGCTCTGTGTCCGGCTGAGGATCCCTTCGAAAAGTCTTCCTCTTCTTCCCACCCCCCCTTTCCATGGGACCGTCTCTCCATATGGTTCGTGCCTATTTATAGGCAGGGGGTGGGAATAAGAATACTAATTCCACATTCTTCCTTCTCACCAACTTTTGATCCCCCCTCTCTTTTTTCTTTTCCTTTTGCGTAAGGGAAGGGGGGAAAAGTTTTGTGGGCAACAAATGCCCCCAGCTGCCCTGTATGTACCTCACGCAGAAGGGAGGAGGAGGAGGGAGGAGGATTGGCCGTGGCAGGGGCGAT